AAGTCTTGGGATTGCACAGACTAACTGCTTCCACCTGTTGGTCCTTTTTCAAATGTTTGCTGATACTTTTCCTTTTATTATCTGCATCAGTTTTGGAATGGTCTTGCTTTTATCTACTGTAAATGTTGCTTGGCCTTTGGTAGTGTGTATAGTGTCATCTAGAGAGAATTTGCATCCTCACAGGTTGACTCTTCCCTTCGTGAATGAAGATTGTGGCTTCATTTACTTAGCTCTTTCTTGATTCTTTACTCAGTGCCTTGATTTTCAGAATACAAACTTTACACTTTTAAAATTAGCTTTACATCTTAGGATTTTTCTTTTGAACGATTGTGAACAGTGTAGTAGTTAGTGTGTGTTCATGTGTTCATTGCTAATGTGTGGACATGTGGTAGGTTCTTGGTAGGTTTGTCTATGTGGCTCTTTGAAGCTGGTTAATTGTTCCAGGTGTATTTGTTTTGTGTCCGTAGATCCTTTGTGTTTTACATAGAGACCACCACGTTCTTGGTACTTCTTCTTTCTATTCTGTAGCTCTTTTCTTACCTCACCACACTGACTAGATTGCCAGGTGTGGTATCAAATGCAAGTAATGAGAGTCACTGTCCATCTCTTGTTCCAGTGGAAGCCATTAGGTGTGGCTTTCTGGGGCTGTCCTTTATCAATATGAGGAAGTTCTTGGTTTCTTCTTTATAAACATTTCCACCATAGATAAAAGCTGCATTTTGCTGTTTTTTTTTATCAGTACCAATTGCTGTTATTTTATTCCTTATCCCTTGTTGTGGAATATATCATTGATATTTCAGGACTGAACTAGCATTGCATCCTTGGATTAAAGCTCATTTGGTAGGATATGTAATTTATTTATGTGTTGGAAATTGCTAATTAAGGATTCTTGCCACCTCTTTTCATACTTGGAGTGCTTGTGGCGTATGTGTGCATGTGCATTGCACATACCTGTATCTCTGCGTGAGGTGGTCAGAGATCAATGTGTATTTCCTCTATTGCTCTCCGCTTTTAATTTTTATATTTTAAAAAAGTAAATTATGAATCTAATTCCTTTGTCTTCATCATCCCCTATCTCTCTCACCACCATCCTTTGGGGGTGGAGTATTGTTTTGTTTTAAATGCACCGAGTCCATGCAGCTGGTATGTGCATGGGGGTAGGGCTGTCTTCTGGAGCATGAGTAGTCTTCAGTCCACAATACTGAAGAAAATGGACTCTTGTTCCCCCAGCAGTCATCAGTTGCCAATAGCTCCTCAGCTAAGGGTGGGACATCATAAGCCCCTCTTGCATTTGTGCTGGGGGTTTGGTTGCTGGGATCTGTGTAGGTCTTGTGAATACGGTCATAGCCCCTGTGAGTTCATATGTGTAACACCTTCTCATGTCCAGAAAACATTTTTTCTCTGCAGTCTTCTATTCCCTCTGGTTCCACTGCCTTTCTGCTTCCTCTCGATGACTGCTCTGTCTTGAGATGAGGGGTGTAATAGAGATGTCTCATTTAGGGCTGAGAACTGTGCAGTCTCTTAGCCTTGCATGCTGACTAGTTATGGATATCTGTAATAAAAACCATGTGCTGCAAAGATAGGATTCTTTGATGAAGGTTGAGAGATGCACTAATCTAAGAGTATAAAGATAAGTACTTAGGGGGCAGTTTAATACTATGTTCATTTAGCAAATAGCAGTAAGTATAACCCTAGGGACTAGGATCTGCTACTAGCCACAGGTTCTTGGCCTAGTTAATGGTACCAGATATGAGTTTTGTCTTGTGAAGCAGGATTTAAATCCAAGCAGAAAATGGTTGGTTACTCCCATAACATTTATGCCACTATTGTGGCAGTGGGCATATCTTGCCAGGCCAGTCATTATTGTATCTGTCAGGATTCCAAGCTGGGTAAGACTGTTGATTGCCTTTCTCCCCTGGTAGCATGGAGGGTGAAGCTTTCAATTTAGAAACTCACTAATGTCTCCAAGTGTGTGCTATCTTCAGCAATGGGGTATTACCATCAAGTTCTGGAGGTTAGCCAAGGACAAGAATGTTAGTCTATAATGTTTGGGGGCATCTATGGAACCCCATTGTCCTCGAAACTTGAAAAGAGGTGGCACTGTGCTTTTTATCTGGTAGCCTGTGATGTCTATGAGAGGAATTCTCTACCTATTACAGGGTAACTCCCTTTAAACTATTCTTATATGTGTACATGTTTTAGGACACTTCTACAGTAGTGGGTTTCTCTATGACCTTTTCAAAGGGTTTTAGTGTTAGTTATACCTCCCTTACTCCTTCTTCTACTCTGCCTCTCCCCCACTATTTAATCCTTCCTGCTCCATTATTCTTCTGCCTCCTTTTTGCCTCCTGTGTTCTATCCCTCTCCCTTGAAATCTACCACAGTGGCCCTTACCAGTTTTTTTCTTCTGCAAGTATTCTGATTTAAATAAATGTTTCTGAAGATTTAAAGCTAGCATCTACATATGAGAGCGAATGCAAGGCATTTGTCTTTGTGGATCTCTGTTACCTCACTCAGAGTGAGTATTTCCAGCTCCATCAATTTGTCTGAGAGTCTCATGATATTATTTTTCTTTATAATTGAATAGCATTCCATTCTGAGTATGTGCCACATTTTCATTATCCACTCACTGGTTGATGGAAATCTGGGCTGTTTCCATTTCCTGGCTATTGTGAATACAGCAGCAATGAACATGGGTGGGCAAGTGTCTTTGTAATAGGATATTGGTGTCTTTGAGAATACGCCCAGAAGTTGTATAGCTAGATCATATGGTAGATGGATTTTTAGCATTTTGAGTGATAGCCACACTGACTTCCATAGTGGCTGCATTAGTTTCTGTTCCACCAGTTTGTGTTCTTTTTTCCTTGTTGATGTTAGAATTCATTATAATTTGGTTTTTTGATCTTAGTCATTCTAACTTAGGTAAGATGATATCTCAAAGCAGTTTTAATTTGCATTTCCCTTATGTTGAACAAGTTAAAAAATATTTCTTAGCTGTTTTCATTTTTCTTTTGAGGACTCTGTTTCATTCCTTGCTTAAAATTGTTTTTTTTCTTGGTATATACTTTTTAAATTCTTTGAATATTATAAATAATAACCTTCTGTTAGATGTGGAGCTGTTAAAAAACCTTTCCCATTCTATAGCGGCCTCTTCACTTTAATCATGTCCTTTGCTGTGCAGAAGCTTTTAGTTTCATGAGGTTCCATTTGTCAGTTGTGGTTTTATTGCCTGCACTAGTGAGGTCCTGTTCAGAAAGTCCTTTCCTGTGCTTGTAAGTTGAGGTGTACTACCTGCTCTTTTCTCTGTCAGATTCAGGGTATCAGGTCTTATGCTGTGGGGCCCTTGGTCCATCTGGAGTTGAATATTGAACAGGGCTGGAGATAAGGATCTAGTTTCATTCCTGTACATGTGGATATTCAGTTTGATGAGCACCATTTGATGAAGATGCTCTCTTCCCTATAATGTGTATTTTTGGCCTTTTTCTCTAAAATCAGTTTCCCCTTACTCACTGAACCTGAAGCTCTGGATGGCCAGATGACATTCCCACAATGGGATACATTGGTTTCCTCTTCCTCCCCATGTCATCACGCCTGTCTTTTCTGTGGGTGCTGGGATCGGAACTCTGATTTTCATGCTTGTGTAGCAAGCCCTTTACCTACTGAGCCATCTTCCAGCCTCTCTCTAGTCATCCTTGTGATGGTTGCTTTAAGGTGTTTGTAGTTATTCCAGCACCTGTCCTCTTGGTGTCAGCTTGCATTGGTTGTCTTTGTTCACTGAACATTGACTGCATCTTTCCTAGTTTTGGGCATTATAAATAATGTCCTTCTGAAATCTAGACATCTAGGTTATACTGTGTGGAGCTCTGTCTTATTTGTGGTCTTGTGTTAGGCTGGTTTTCTGTGACATACTGTCAAGGGAAAGGGAATTGTATTGATACTGTCCAGTGAGGCAAGAGATCCCTCTGTTGCTTCCTTGACATCACCTCATATTAAGGGACAGGTGTTGGTGGTTGACTTTTGCTGGAGTGGGTGGATCAGAGCATAGACTTTTCAGACAGAGCCTTTGGCCTGGAGTAGCGCACTTACCATCCAAGTTTTCTCTTGACAACTGCCCTGCTCTGGGTCTTTCCTTGGTCTTTCATTTGATTTGTACCCAGTGACATCAGAGCAGGGATTGAGCCACCTCTTTAACCTTGTCCTCCACTGTCAGTAGGTTGTTCTTCCCCGTTCTTGTGATTTAAAGACCATTTTTTGGTCTTCCTTTGCAAGGCAACATAGGACATGAGAGGCCTGAGGGAAAATGGTGGCCCTTACACTTCAGATCCAGATCACAGCAACAGGCAGGCAGGTCAAAACAAGCCAGAGATGAGATCAGGGAAAGCCACATCTGGAAGATGAGAGACAGAGTCCAACTCACAGACAGGAAACCAAAGCCTGGGAAGGTGCAGGGATGGGTTCTCCAGGGTACTTAATCCCTTCGGAAAAAAAAAGCCATACACTTATTCTTTCCTCTTGGGGAGAGAAAGAAAACTCTTACCTTACACAGATCAGGGAGACACAAGAAGACAGTGACCAAGAGAAGGGATCAGCCTGTCCCCGAGGCTGTATCTTCCTGTAATGGGGAGTCAGACTTAATAATATAGACCAATCTTGAGGACTATTTCTGGATTCCATTGGAACAGTAGAGGGAAGGGAGAGAGGCCTAGTGGGGCCTTGGTTGGAGTCAGTGGAATTTGCTAGGCGGAAGCTCAGGGTGCACAGTGAGCCAGAAGAATAGCATGCAAGGGCTGTAAGCATGTCTATGAGGTCAGTCCCACCTATGCTAGGTTAGACTTCTGGAGTCAACTGCTTGCTCAGTGGTAGTCCACATTTGGGGCTCCTGGGCATGTGCTGGCTTGCCTCAGCAGGGTCTGTAGACCCCCACTGAAGACAGCTTGTCTCCTGACTAGCAGAAATTGGGAAGTCCTTGCTGTCTAACAAATGATGTTTCTCCTCTTCAGGAGAGGTTGCTCATGAGCCTCTTGCCCCGGAATGTAGCCATGGAGATGAAGGAAGACTTCCTGAAGCCCCCTGAGAGGATTTTCCACAAGATTTACATCCAGAGGCATGACAACGTGAGGTAGGGATGGCACCAACCCAGCTCGACTGTGTACTGGGGGTTTCAGGGCAGAGGTGGTGAGGTGTGTTGGGGAGGGTGGGAAGAGGAGCTGGGAAGTGGATGAAGAGGTGGGGAGGGAGAGATGGGGGAGGAGGACTAGGAACTAGAATATCTCTGTAGTTTATGGGGAGAGAGGAGATATGGTCAAGAAGCTCAGGTGGGTGGGAGCCCAGCAAGGAAGCTGGTCCCGTGTGGAGGAGGCTGTGGCTTCTTAGATGTCACATGCCAATTCTCTTTCACATTTTTCCATCAGCACTTGCACTTCCCACATAGATAAGGAGACAGATCTTTGTTCCAAAGACTGGATTTTTGAGTCTACATTTGAGTGTCAGTCCTTGGGGCTCTGGGTGCTAGGCAGTGGACTGGGGATTCTCCCTTTCATAATAACGGCAGAGTGTTGTTGCTTGAGATGGGCTCTTCCACCTCACTTTCTCCATTTCATCACTCCTAAGAGGTTGCAGCTATTGCTCCTATTTTACAGGCAAGGAACCCAAGCCTTCCATATGAACCAATGTGTGGATACGTTGGCTGAAGTTTGCTTGTCTGCTTAGAAAGATTTTGTTGAAACTATTTGTCTTAATGTATTGTGTAGTCCTTAAAAATGCTTTTTATTATAGTTTAGTGCACTTAGAATAGTTGAGTTGTCACCTTTTGGGATTGCCACCATCTAAGTGGCACTCAGGAGATGGGGTGACAAAGCACTTTCTGTTCAGTTGTTCTTTGTTGGCTCTTCTGGGTTTTGGCATCGGGAATCCCAGCCTTTGGCACCTGAAGACACAAAAGAATGTGAAAAACTCTCTTATGTTGGGTAGCATTGGCTGGCTCATCCCAAATTAGTTAAGGACTGTGAACTGTCAAGGTACAAGCCTATAGACAGAGCCTGTGTGGCTAATCAGCTCACATATCTTGCTCTGTGCATATCTGTGAATTCTTTCACTCCCAGCTGCCATGCAGTTTGATAGGAACCAGTGAGGTCCTCCCTCCACAGAGGACGATGCTGAAGTGGTGTGGCATGAGGGCCCAGCTGTTTGGAAAGTAGCCACAGAGCCAGCATTTGAACTTAGATGGCTCCAGAATTAGGACTCAGAAGCTCCTTGCTGAGTTCCTGGTTGTTTGCTCTCCCCTCACTCCCGTGAGCAGCTGGCATTACAGCCTGCATTGTGGAAATCAGGAAATTGAGATTCAGCCATGTGAAACAAATGTACAGGATGCCCTGGGCAGTGGGCGGAGGGCTGGATGCAGGATTAGCTGACGTTCGCATTTGCTTTACTTCCCTTATCGCACCTGCTGCTCCTTGTTAGTTGGAAAGGACATAATTCAGTACCCCAGCTGCTTGCCAAGGAGGAGCACCAGCTACCAGAATGTTTCAATGAGAACCTGGAGGGCATACTGTAGGAGGGCGGCACAGTTGAGGGCCTTCTGGTAACTTGAGTGAGTAGGCATCGTTGGTCTTCTGCTTGCTCAACAAAGCAAAAAGACAAACAAATACACAAAAGAACTCTGCTCCTTCCTGCTGTGTCTTAGTTAGTCTTCTATTGCTGTGATAAATACCATGCCCAAAAGCTAGTTGTGGAGGAAAAGGTTTATTTGGCTTACACCTCCACATTGTAATCCATCATTGAAGGAAGTCAGGGCAGGGACCTGATGCAGAGGCCATGGAGGGGTGCTGCTTACTGGCGTGCTCCCCATGACTTGCTCAGCCTGCTTTCTTATAGAACCCAGGGCCATCAGCCCAAGGGGTGGTTCCATCCACAAAGAGCTGGATCCTCCCCCATCAATCAATAATTAAGAAAATGCCCTACAGGTATGCCTATAACCCTATCTTATGGAGACACTTTCCTGGTTGAGGTTCCTTCCTCTCAGATGACTTTATTTTGTGTCAAGTTGACACACAACTATCCAGCACACTCCAGGAAGGAGAGAATTGATCAGGATGACCAGTTCCCCAGCTGCCTGGGGCTGCCTAGACAACCAGCATCTGTAGTTCAGTCCCCGATTTCTGAAAGGTCTGACTCAGTCCTGGTTTGCTTCGAAAATAGAGGTGGGTCTAGCCCTGGAAGATACCACAGCTGCCACACATATATCCTCTGCTCAGGACAGAGTGAATAGATGGAACCCATAGCTGCCAATTGGGACACAAAGAGTTGATAAAGGGCCTGAGCATCTTGGCTGGAATAAGTGATGTGGTCACTCTCTTATGTGAGGCTGGTCTCTAAAGGTTGGGAATGAAGAGCCAGGCCAAGGAGGAAGCTAGACCTGCAGACACAGACCCAAGAAAATGCACTTACACAGTTTACTTAAAATAACTCTCATGAAGATAGAAAAGAGTTATGCACACGGAAAATGAGAATTTCCACAAGGAAATAAAAGCATATAGGAGTACCAAGTCAGAAAGCTTAAGACTATAGCAACCGAATATAAAGTTCCTTAGAGGAGAATAGAGACTCAAACAGAAGAAAAGATCAGTGAACTGCAAGACAGGTCCCTGAAAGGTCCCAGGCAGAGGGTCAAGAAGAGAAAAGAATCGAAAGAAATGAGGAAAGCTTAAGAGACTATGAGAAGTCAGTGCTGGACCAGAACATACATTATAGGACTTGCTGAAGGAGAAGGGTGGGAAAGGGACCATAAAAAAGCTTTTGTTGTCGTTCCTTCCTTCCTTCCTTCCTTCCTTCCTTCCTTCCTTCCTTCCTCCTTCCCTCCCTCCCTCCTTCCCTCCCTTCCTTCCTTCCTTTCTCCCTCCCTTCCCCCTTCCCTTCCTCCCTCCCTCCCCCTCTCTCTGTCTCTCTCTTTCTTTCTCCATTCTTTCTTTCTTCCTTTCTTTTTCTTTCTTTTCCAAGACAGGGCTTCTCTGTGTAGCTCTGGCTGTCCTGGAACTCACTATGTAGACCAGGCTGGCCTTGAACTTACAGAGCTCCTCCTGCCTCTGTCTCCTGAGTGCTGGGATTAAAGGTGAGTGCCACCACTGCCCAGACTATAAAGCTTTTAAAGAGCTTTTCAGATAGACACATGGAGGTGGAAATGGGCATCCAGTGATAGGAAACATATATGACACCAACTTAAAGAAACTGACATGATGAAATTCTGTAAAGGTAGAGACAAAGTGGGGGTTTTGAAAGCAGCAGCAGAAGGTGCTTTCCTGTAAACAACAGAATCCATGTTAAGTTTTCAGCGGGTCGTCAGGTAGAAACCATACAGGCCAGAGAACGTATGGCACATGTTCCAAATGTTTAAAGCAAACAACAAAAAGCCCCATAGACCAAAGGTGCTGTGTCTGGTACATTTCTTCTTCAGAAATAAAGGCAAGGCAAAGACTCTGACAGATAGTTGAAACTTGCGGGAATTTGTGGCCTTCTGACCTGCATTATGAAAAAGTGCTAAAAGGGATTCTCAGGGAGAAATGAAAGACTCCTGTACAGCAACTCAGTGGCATGAGAAACTGAAACTTACAGGTAAAGATTAACATATTAATATAGGTATGTTGTATGTGTGTGTATAAAGGCAATAGTTTTCTTATTGTGGTTGCATAAAAATGATAAAAAAAACCTGTCTGGAGAGAGGCTCAGCGGGTGGAGAAGCTTGCCGCCAAGCTGCTGGCCTGCAACTCATCCCCAGAACCCACATGGTGGCAGAAGAGAACCAACTCTTGCATGCTCTCCACTGACCACCACACACACATACATTGTAGCATATATGTGCACCAACATACACACCACACACACACCACATACACACCACACCACACACACACCTACCACACACCACACACACATTAGACACACCACACCATACCACATACACACACTACACACACACACACACACACACACACACACACAGGCCTATAGCAACATGCACACAACAAATGTAAAAAAGTTAAAAATCAAAGATTTTTAAATAACTGTAATGAGAAAATAATTTAATATATAAATACATGTAAATTATGGTGAGTAAATTATGGAAAAGGTGTTAAATGTACATTTTTTCTATGGAACTGAACAGCAATATGGTAACTAATTCAAGAAGTTAACCAAAAGAAAAAAGAGAAAATAATCATAGCATTTCAATCCAGAAAACCAACAAACAGTGGCAGAACACGGAAGAGAACACAAAGAGGAAACACACGTAACACAAAGGCAATGTGAGCCTTACCATCAATACTCTACATGTAAATGGGGCAAAATCCCCTTCCATTAAAAGACAGAATGACTGAATGGGAAGATAGGTCAAACAGATACAAAGCAAACCACACTAACCAAGCAGCCAGACTATATCTTGTGTACAAGAAGCCTGCTTTAGATTTGAGGATACACCTCTAGCTGGAGGGGTAGAGATGGAGAAGAGCATCCATGTGAATGAGATCCAGGGGACAGCAAGGGTGGCCTTGCCATCATCAGCCCAAGTACACTCATGTCAAAATGGTCAGAAGAGATGACATTTCATCATGGTTGGAGAGCCAGCTTACAATAACAGTCATAAAAATACCAGCACAAAAACACTGAAATATGCACAGAAAGCATCCCTAGAGCTGAAAGGGGAAATGTCCATCAAATCAGTAGTAACTCACTTTCTCTGATGGTGGGCAGACAGAAGGGCACAGAGAGAGAGAGAGAGAGAGAGAGAGAGAGAGAGAGAGAGAGA